AGAGATTGGAGTATCTGGATTTAGACTGGAAAAGGAATTTGATTGAGGGAGAGAGGGAATAGAGATAGGATAGTTTGGGGTAGAGGGAAGAGACACTGGGGGAAATGCTGGGACTTTTTGAGAAGATGGGAGGGGAGCAGAGTGAAGTATGGTTTTGGAATAGATAGAAAGAGAAAAATCTCATTGGTTTGCTTCTTGTCTCTAAGAACTGCTACTTCAGATTCAAGCTTGTAGACAGGGCAGCTCCTATTATGGGAGCCACCACAATTGGCACATGTGTGTGACTGTGTAGAGCAATATGAACGGTCATGACCAAGTTGGGCATATAGAGGGTAGTGAATTGAGGAGTGACAGTGTTTGATTGGGTGGCCAAAATACCAATATTTCAATATTTCTGACATTGACGGGGAAGAGGTTGATATGGTTGGACAGGGCAGGACACTCCCCCAATATAACTTTCATGTGCCAGGTCATGTTTACAGAAGCTAATCTTGGCAATATTGGTGTAGTACTTATATTGGCCTCTGGGAGGAATAGTGTAGCACTACATCAGAGTTGATGAGGCACGTGAGCAAGTTTTCACAATCTGACCAGTCCCTGTCATAAAAAAGGACAATCAGTCAGTGAAATGGAAACAGTTCTGGTGCAAGTATTAACCTTTTACAGCCTGTACCCAAGTGGGAAGTACCACTATACATAGCGGACTCACCAGCCAAAAGGCTAGAGCGTTGCTAGAAGTCATCGGAATGAGTGAGTCCCAGAGATTTATGGTACTGTCACTGTAGGTTTAAGGGAGGAGTGAGGTGAGTTCAGTTAGGGTCAATAGTGCATGAGCTTGGGATTCAGGTGTAACTGTGACAAGGCGTGAATGATCAGAATGACTGCAAAAGGAAATTTTGCCTACTTGTTTTTGGAGACACTGTTGTTTTTGGAGACATTTGGTTGGGCAAAAAAGGGTACTCAAAAATTTTGCAGAGGTGGAAGTATTACAGGGAAAAGGGCAGGAGGAAGATGGGGTGGTATGGAAAGACGGAATACTGTTGGGAGGAGGAAAATAAGGATGAAGATTAGTAACAAGGGGGGTTGGGGTAGACAATGAAGAAGACTGTGCAGTAATAGATGGAATGGAGGATGTTGGGAGAGAGGAAGGGGTGCATTCTGAAGGTTGAATATTAACCTAGGTGGATGATTCAGAATGGATAGAGTTGACCTCAAACATTGAGGAGGAGGCTCAGTGGTTAGAGCCATGGTTGAAGGAGAGGTAGGGGTCAGCAAACCAAAGAAACCAAATATAAATAGGCTAGTTGATGAAGGAGCAAGCCTAAATACCCCTAATAAGAGTAAAAAAATCTTCATTATTGGCCATGGTGAGCCTGAAATAAATGGGGAGAAGTAATGGTCTACTCCTGTTGAGCAAGGGATTAAAGGAGGGAGGGAAAGGAAAAAAAGAAAAGATAGAAAGAAAAGAAACAAAATAAAATAAAATAAAGTAAAATAAAATAAAATAAAATAAAATAAAAGAGAAAAAACAAAATGAATATACCTACCTCTTCTTTGAGTCTTTTCTCTTCTAACTCATGTTCTTCCTTCTCCTTCAGTTTTCTCTCCTTTTCTCTCTGAATCCCGGCAAGTATCTCTCGCACAATGCCAGGTCCTCCAGTTACCAGGAAAATGACTAGTTTGACCAGCTGAACGGGTAAAATGTTCCACCAGCTGTTGAGAGATTATTTAGTTTTAGAGAGAGAGAGAGAAAGCTTCTGAATTCTATAGTGACCAACTTCTGACTCAGAAATACAATCATTGTAAGCCTTATTTTCTCCTGCAACCTTTTCCTTAGTAAGATGCAGTATGTGATCAATTTAACATTCAACATTCATCATCATTCCCATCAAAAATTACATAGGCCCTCAATACCCTTAAAAAAATTCAAGCAGGCTATTACAACAAATGTGATCCTGCATTAGGCATGAAGTTCACCTTGGTTTTGGGATGAGACTCAGTTCTTCCTCCATCTTGGATATATTCTGCAGGTCCTCACCCTTCTTCTTTTTCCGGTCTTTGATCTTGTACTTTCGAATGAGGAACTCTTCCTGTAAATGTGGAACGATTGATTAAATACCTAAGTGGATACTTAAAACAACAACAACAACTACAACAATAACAATAAAAATAACAACAATGATGAAAGAGACAGATATTCTCCATCTGATATTCATATTTGCATTTACATTATATAATGCATCTACAAAATGAATGAATTTCAGCATGTCTAAGCAAAGGAACCTATAAAGCTATATCTGCAGTATATTCATATTAATAGTATATCAATATCCATACTGAATCACCGAAGCAATCCTCATAAAAATTCCTACTCACCAAACTATGCTTCTTATCAATATATGAACCCCAGGCCATAAGATACTGTGTTATGGATATAACGACCGTCAGGATGATTGAGATTTCCAGCAGGGACATTTTGCGAGCACGGCGATAATAGTATATAGGAGAGCGCCAGTCAGGCAAGCCCTCCACTAAGACTCTTTCATAACGAGCTCTTCGCCCTTCATCCCGAAGGACATCGTATATAGCAACAAGCTGAAAAGGATACAACAGATGACATTGTGTAATTCAATGGTTATCAATCAAACAAAATAATTTACTACTAATAACCTTCCACAAAAGCATAAACCTAATACAAATGTCCTTATCATATATCTAATTATAATAATCACAGGATAAGTATATAATTTGAATATCTCCAGGAGTATGAAGGTGTCAGTACTAAAGGGTGTAGGTTTGTATACTATGATTTCCTAACAGTGCCTCTTTTCTCTCTTGAACTTCTTACTGTTGAAGGAATTGAGAAAGTGTGGAAAAGTCTAAATAAAGTAGTACTGGGTAGGAAATTACTAAATTTTCATCTTTCCTGCAGGAACAGTAGAGAAGAGAAGAGAAGAGAAGAGAAGTGAAGAGAAAAGAAGAAGAGAGAAGAGGAGAGGAGAGGAGAGGAGAGAAGAGAAGTGAAGAGAAAAGAAGAAGAGAGAAGAGGAGAGGAGAGGAGAGGAGAGGAGAGGAGAGGAGAGGAGAGAAGAGAAGAGAAGAAAAGAGAAGAGGAGAGAAGAGAAGAGAAGAAAAAAGAAAAGAAAAGAAAAGAAAAGAAAAGAAAAGAGAAAAGAGAAAAGAACAGAAAAGAAAAGAAAAGAAAAGAAAAGAAAGAAAAGAAAAGAAAATCGAGAGAAAAAAAAAAAATAAATAAAAAATAAAGAAAAAGAGGTAGAAAGCTGCATTACTGACCTGCCTAAATTTAACATCGGCATCTGGTGCATCATTCTTATCAGGATGAAGCTGAAGGGACAGCCGACGATAAGCCTTTTTAACCTCCGATGTTGTTGCATCCTGTTGGAAAGAACAAAGAAAATCAAACCCATAATTCTGATTTAATTTCACAATTGATGTTTCGTTATGGAAGCAAAACAGACCTGTATTTCCAAAAATGTGTAAGTCATTAAAATCCAATTTCATTTCTACGTCTAACATTAAGAAATATCATCCGAGATCATTAGATAGTCTGTAAAACTCCCAAATTTTATTATATTACTTAAAAACTGGTTCTGATAGACCTATTTGATAATATCTGAAAATGTGAATATGAGAAATTTATGCTATCTATTATTCATATCAGTATCTAGTCACACTTTCTCAATGTTGTCAATGTTTAAAATACAATGGACTTAACCCAATGCTACCAGGGAAAAAGAATAAAAAAATGGGGAAAATGCTGTGCTCATTTTCTATATCTTTATGAAATGTCTTTGCCCATAGATGGCTCTGCTAGTGCTTAGCCACAAAGGAGTCAATTAGTAGACTTTGTGACCTTACTTGATTTGAATTGGCAGGAAAATTGTATTTTTTACTAGCGCTATGAATATCGATGGTATTATTTTTATTATAAACATTATAATTACAATAAGGTTATAAACATGAGTAACAACAAAATAAGATAACCTTAAGTATTTTCATAAATCATGGAAAAGGGTAAACGGGCGAGACAGGCAGTACTCGTAATTGGCTCATTGGTGACTCAGTACAAGTGTAGCCATCTAAGTGTAAAAACAATTAAACAAGTACGTGCTATACCCGTCGGCATTGGGTTAAGATTGAGAAAAACTAAAGTAGCCAATGGAGATAATGACCGTATTAATTATAAAACAGAAAAGAAAAAAAAAAAAAAAAAATTATAAGGCAAGGCTGCGATCCTAAATGCGACTCCTAAATCAGAGTCCATGAATCTTTGCCTGATAAGTCTAGCAATGCCGTGGCCCCAAGGCATCGGCCAGGCATCGGCTAAGGTGAAGTAACATCCAATAAGAATATTCTGGCAAGATAAAACTGTACGATTGACTTCTTGGCAATTGAACCTAAATTGAGGAACCAGTTTTAAGTTCTATCTTGCAGCATTAAATACTGTGGGATTTTACTGTCTTATGCAGGAATGTAATATGCAGAGGCCATGGTATCGCTTGGCACATTCCTTTTATGAACAACTGTCTCCAAAGAAAATAACGCTACCATCTGAATCGCATGCCTGACCTTTTCTGCTTTAGGGTATGTTTGCCGCCACTGTAACAATTGCAACATTTACAGGACTTGCATCAAAAGGTCTGTAAAATAGTCTACGAATGGGTATCTAAACCTTTCCTATTTATAATTAACTATATTCTCCTCATCAAAATTCCTCCAACTGCGACATTTAAAGACCAGAGTGTTTCGATCGGGCAAACTGCACACTTTCCACTCTCATGGCACCAAATAACAGATTTATTCCAGTCTGACTTTGCCATTAAACACTAAATCTACCAGCATGACTCATCTGAAAGGGCCATGATGAAATCTGGAGAAAAATAACTAAAAACATATGGACCTTCTCAAGAATGTAAACAGTGGAATGCAAACATTACCTTCCTCCATTAATAAAATATTAGTACGAAATGTACCGATATCCTCACCTCCTCCTTTGACTAAATTGATTCCTAAATGAAATATAAAAGAGCCAAGAAAATCAATAAAGAAGATAAATAAATAACAAGAACTGACACTTAAAACAATCTTCACAAGCAAAACGCCTTTATTTCCCGCTAAAAATAAAAAAAAAACATACCCATCAAAACACATAAATCCCCCCCACCTTCAAAACCTTAAAAAAAACATAATAAACCTAAAAAACATTAAAAAAAACCTCAAAAACGAAAAAGCCTCCACATCATCACCTGAGAAATCCCAAGGACCTCGTAGAAATTCTCGCCGACTTCCTCCACCAAATCAAACAGCTCCATCTCCTCCGAGTCCCAGCAGTGGCCAGGCAGTGCCCACACCACCACCACCAGTGCCAGCGGTGCCAGGAGCCGTGGTGCCATTCTCTCCCTCTCTCTCTCTCTCTCTCCTCCTCTCTCACTCTCTCTCTCTCTCTCTCTCTCTCTTTCGAGGAACAGCTGACGGGCGACGAGG